AAATAGGTCCAGGGTCACTGAAACTCTCTTAGTCCCTTATCACTTCCTTGCTAGAAAACATTAACTCTTGCTGGTGTTGAAGACTCGGCTTGGATTCCCCTCAGATTGGTATTTAACAGCCCCATGAAAGGTTATTGCAGTGTGGTGCTTGAAAAATGAATTTCGATTTTATGTGATTTTTTAATGTTGATTTTCAAGAAATCTTTACTGTGTTCTGCGAATCGTTGCTCTTGAACAGTTATAAAAAAAACTATTGTACTTATAAATTGATATCAGTGACGGAGTGTCTGCCATCTGCACGACACAGTGCGAGTCAGTTTAGGTAGTATGTTATGGCCAGCTATTGAATAGTCTGTGTAAGGTGGACAAAACGAAAAAAAAGACAACCAGAAGGCTTTACATCGGGTAATTTTTGAATGAAACTTACCGATATCGTAATGGATTCTAAATATTCAAGAGAACATATTTTAGGAAAAAATTGGCCCATGGTCATTGAAGCTCGATAAGCCCCTTACCACTTCTTTGCCAGAAAACATTAACTCTTGCTCGTGTCGAAGACTCGGCTTGGATTCCCTCAGAAACTAAAACGGGAAAAGTGTATTCACCATTCGTGAGGTAGCTTCCATGTTTGGAGGCTGAGCCTTGTTAATGTCCTCGGTAGGAAACTGATGCAGTAAAGCTACATAGAAAACTTTGTTTATTCAACTCAGCTCGGAAAGTGAAATTAGAACTGCATCGCCTGAACCAGTTGACCTGCTCGTTACAAATATTTGTGTGGTTTGTCATGTTCCCATATCACTGGAACACTGTAAAAGGAAAATGGTAGCAGCTTGAAGATTGTAATTTCCTTTTATGAAGCGGCCTCTCCATTGGCGATCATGTGTTAAGGGATATGTTTCAAGACATCAAAGCAACACTTTAACAATTTTGGTAAGCTACCACTTCCTTACTTATCAAGTTTATAGCAGACTAATGGACCGTTTGAGCTAAATGCTCGGTAACAAAGAGTGAATGTTGGTGCCGAAGATTCTGAACTTACACCAAGGAGCACCCGATAAACTTACTGACGGCTGAATGAAAAAAATGCACCGATAGCCGAAAGAAGTCCTTTTTGTCGCCTGTCTTTTTGCAGTAACAGGTAAGCGTAGGTGTATGATATAGTAGCTAATAGTTTGCACTCATTCACTAAGAGTCAAGGAAATTAATTCGTTTCATAGCGACCTCACCCCAAAATCATGAGGTTTCGATCTGTAGTTAAGCTATCCCATCTATGCAATCTGATATTTGCAATTTTGTTTACTATTAATTGAATAACAAGTTCCTCAAGCATTCAGCACAAGAACACTTAATACCTGTAAAAGGGAATGTATTTAGTAAGTTCCAGGCTGATTTTTCACACCGCATATAGCCATCAAATGCAGCTTCCTCTTTCACTTTGTATACATGAAATTCAGTAAATCGGAATGTAAATGCAAGTATGCCGAATCAGTATTTAGGGCAGGAGAGAGAAATCAACAACAATAACGACATATTTAGGTGTATAATGCATTATCTTTCAAAGAGTCGTAAATAGCAAATAACAAGAAAGGGAATGCCAAAATGCATTCACTTTACCTCCCTGTACAACATGTTATCTGATAGATAAGTAACGTGAAAAGGTAAACTTATCAGGTATCAGACTAGCAGATAATATATCAAGCAACATGACTTTAGCTAAACCTAGCTTATTCAGAAGAAAATGCATAACAACCAGAGGGCAGAATGTTCACTGAATGAGATCTCTTGAGGTGAATTCAGCCCCTGACTTAAGCCTCCAACCACTTCACGGGGATTCCGAAGGCGTTGAGATTCAAAGGACTATAATTCAAGAAAAGAGATTGAAATCAATTAAATAATAATGGTTTTGTGATGCTTCGAGCAACTGAGGAGGGCGAGAGCATTCGAAAACTCCCGCGAAAGCTGGGCTCTCGAGATTTTGAAAGCGGTGTTTCGAGTTGTCGTTCTGTACACTGACCAGTGCCGCTGCTTACCTTGTAATAAACTTGTCTTGAGATGTCAGATTACGAATTTAGTGCTCTTCCGCTACATTTATTTTTAAGTTGAATGTTGTGGCTATACCGTTTTAATCAAAACATTTCTGCTAGGACAAACAGATATTTAGTACAAGCATTTTCCTGTATGGAAATATGTCGATCCGTTTACTAACTAATTGAAAGTGACCTTTGGGTACAGAATTCAATACACGAAGAAAATTATGTCGTGACTGATCCATATTCGATGCAAATTTCCTGGCTTTACAACAGAAAGGTAGCTTTCAAACTTGACACAATTTTCTTATCTTATAGCCACGAAAGGCAACTAAAAGATGCGAAATATAGCTTTAGTTCACCTTAAACTGAACCTCTTCATTTCTAAGAAATCGGGAGTCAGTCAAGCGTTACCACTTAGAAATGTTGATAAAATTTCGCACTTATCCTTTTCCACTTTATTATAGATCGAAAATAACGAAAATAACTTGGGCAAATAATAGTATTTGAAAATATTTTATGCTTCTACGCACTATAAAGGTGGTTCATATGAACGTATAATGCATCTTTTCGTCGGGTTACAGATAACGCATGCTTTAAAATGATATCTTGTTGTAATAAGAAGAGAGGTACGGTTATATCAACAGCATTTATGCGACACTCAAAATTTTCTAGGAATTCGAACCTCATTATATTCGTCTGCAGTGATCCATTCGCTTCAGGTATATCAATTGTTTACGATGGCGCTTTCTTGGAACTAATGCATACGAAATTAAAAGCATTGACTGTATACAGAAACCAGAATTTGTTTTTGATCTTGTAGAGTACTTCGAAAACATATATATCGCCCTTTTACGGTGTACTACAATAGAAACTTTCGGCCGAAAATATAAAGCAATAATAGAAGGGGTGCTTGCTTCTGCATGAAGCGACATTCGTCTTCGTATTTCTTCGCTAAAGACATTTAATTTACACATCTGGTTTACTAGTAAACCGGCGTCGTATTCAAAGCGAAAAAGGTGCCGTGTCATGCCCTTCACTTTCACTAGTTCGCTTGTGTCTAAGGGGGGGATTTTAAATTGCAGTTTAACTAGGTCTTTTAAGGATATTGAATCTCTCGCTCCGCAATCAACTTTAAAATATCGAAAACTGTAGCTTTTGTGTTTTTCAGTTTCCTTGTAAAAATGTTCGCCGCCAAAATGCTCGGTTATTACAAAGTATAACGTAGGGTGGATAATGTTTTCAATAGCGTTCGAATTCTCAACACAACAACGACAGATCCATGTTAAACTTACCTGTGAGGCACTGAATCACAACGTAAAAGGATCGAAAGTTTAAATGCTTTCATCGTTACGATAAACAAACGCTACTCTGCTTTGAATATCCTTGGGTATTCAAGCTTAGTCGTTCCCCCTCCAGAAACTAAGCCAAAAACGAGACTCGAAAATGCACACAGCAAACAGTAACCTTATCATTAAGATTCAGAAATTTGAATGAAGAGATAATTTTTCAATGAACACTGCATAGTATCAGCAGAGACTCAGAAACTTCCCATTATTCCGAGAAATCACATAATATGCATGATTGAGCAGATGGGCCTCGTTTCCATTCTAAAGCCTGTCGTCAAGCCCAGCATCTGATGCATCCACCGCTTGTCAATCGATCAATTACTCATTAAAAGGTGTTACTTTAGGACCTATACTTTCGTATAATTGTGTTCTGAAATAGCAAAAGTTGCATAACATAAAACAATGATCCTGATCAATATATTTTATGATAATTAGTTAATAACACGAGATTCTAAGAATAGCACGCTGACATAACCAAATCAACATGATCAAGGCATTATTCTTAGGCTCTGAGTGGACTTGCACCGAGCTACACGAAGGATTACCTGAGTTACAAGCCGGTTCGAATCATCTGGAAAGATCCTAAAACAGCCGGTTCCTTGACAGACCTTGCGGCATAAAACGTATTGGTATGGAATGGGACATACTCAGTGGCTGCGTAGACTGAAGCTATATTAGACAATTATCACCGGTAGCATTGATTAAAACTAAGCGAATGACTTATCTGTTCGATGGTACATGTTCTTCTGTGTAGGTTATGCAGATTCAGTAGTATTATACAGCGCCATGTAGGGCTAATGAAGTGTGGCGCTCGAGAAAAATTAATTTCGACTATATGCAAATGTTCAAGAAATCTTTACTGGGATTTACCGGTGCTTACTCCTGAATTTTGCTAAAATTAATGGTTATAATATTATACTGCCCGATATTATTGATGCCAATAAAACACATGCAGGTCATGTGCATCTATCGGCGAGAAAAAATCCTTGAGAAAGTTTCATTGTTAAAAGATGAACCGTGATCACTGCCTTGTTAGGAAACTGATACAGTTAAGTTGTTTACGAAACTTTGCTTATTCACTCAGGCCGGAAACTGAAATCAGGACTGCTTTTCCGTATACAATTGAACTGTTTTTTATCTACAGATTTTTGTGTGTTGAGAGATTTTTCCATTTAACTGGAACACTGTAAAAGGAAAATGGTGGCAGCTGGAAGGCTGCAACTTCCTTTTATTGAGTGGCTTTACTGCTAGACAGTGTGTTACTTTCACTTTACAAAACTTTGAACCGAAGCCAATGCAAATATCAAACAGCAAAACAATGTAAAACACTCAGTTGACTGATTCAAAGGCATGACTAACGATTTCCGTCACAATTCCAAGAAAAATATGACAGCCCCTGAAAACAAGTATAAGTCTTTACGTCAATATGGCTTAGAGGGTATCCCAAAATAACCGGATCGAATGGTTGATTGACTTTCTCCTAAAATGTAAACGAGACAAAAATTCCTAGAACCGCCTCAAGTGTGTTTTTTTTTCCTCGAAATATGGTTGCTTTCCTTTCTACCCACTCATTTCTGCTCCATTTTCGATCATGTTTGCCAAGGTATATGTTTCAAGATATCAAAACAACACTTTAACAGTTTAGATAAGCTATTACTTCCTTGCTTATCAAGTATATCTCGGACTTATTGATCGTTTAAGCTAAGAGCTCGGTAACAAAGAGTAACTGTCTGTGCCGGATAATCTAAACTTGCACTAAGGAGCTGACGGCTGAATGAACAAAATGCACCGATGGCCGAAAGAAGTCCTTTTTGTCTCCTGTATTTTTGCAGCAACAGGTATGCGTAGGTGTATGATATAGTAACCTAGTTTGCATTCATTCAAAGGAATTAATTTGTTTATTCAAAGCGACCTCATTACCAAAATCATGTGGTTTGATCTGTGGTCAAGCTATCCCAACTATGCAATCTGATATTTTCAATTTTCTGAATAACAACTTCCTCAAGCATTCAGCACAAGAGCACTTCTTATTTGTAAAGGGGAAGGTATTTAGTAAGTTCCAGGCGGATTATTCCCACTGCATCTAGTCATCAGGTGCAGCTTCCTCTTTCACTTTGTATACATGAAATTCAGTAAATCGAAATGTAAATGCAAGTATGCCGAATCAGTATTTAGGGCAAGAGAGGGAAATCAACAACAACATATTTGAGTGTATAATGCATTATCTTTTAAAGAGTCATAGATACCAAATAACCATAAGAGGAATGACAAATGTCATCTTCCTGCATTCGCGCGTAATTAATGCTTTACACTGTACTTTCCTGAACAACAACATGTTATCTGGTCGATAAGTGACGTGATTAGGAAAACTTATCAGGCATCAGACTAGCAGATAATATATGAAGCAACATGACTTCAGCTGAACTTAGCTTATTCATGAGAAAATGTATAACAATCAAAGGACAAAATGTCCACTGAATGAAATCGCTTGAGATGAATTTAGCCTCTGACTTGGGCTTCCAACCACTTCAGGGAATCCTGGCAAAGGAGTTGAGATTCAGAGGACTATAATCCGAGAAAAAGACTTGAAATTAACAGAAGGAAAATGGTTTTATGATGCTTTGGGCAACTGAGTAAGGCGATAGCATTCGCAAACCCCCGCGAAAGCTGGGGTGTCAAGATTTTGAAAGCGGAGTTTCGAGTTTCTACATCGACTAATGCCGCCGCTTACCATGTAATAAACTTGTCGTGAGATGTCAGATTACGAATTAAGTGCTCTTCCGCTCCATAATTTTTAAATTGTATGCTGTGGCAATACCGTTTTAATCAAAACATTTACGTTTGGACAAATAGATATTAAGTATAAGCATTTTGCTGCATGGAAATATTATGTCTGAACATCCGTTGAGTAAGTGAAAGTGACCTTTGGGTGCAAAATTCAATAAACGAAGAAAGTTATGTCGACTGGTTCATATTCGTTGCAAATTTTCTGGCTTTACAACAGAAAGGTGGTTTTCAAACTTGAAACCATTTTTTTATCTTGTAACCAAGCAAGGTATCCAACGGACGCGAAATATAGCTTTTCTAGGAAATCGGGAGTTAATCGAGCTTTACTCATGAGCAGCTTTGGGCCCCAAAAAAAATTCACAGCATGCATCCTACGGAGACGTTATATTTCTGTCATCAGTGTAAGAATTACATTAACGCTTGCGGTCCGTAGGTGTCTATGCGGTTACTTAAACCTGTTTATCATAAGTTAAAGCTTCACCTAATAATTAATACTTCAGCAATGCTCGAATTTCAATTACGAAAACACAATAAATGTTGCATTGGAATTACTTGGCGCGATCTCATCATGGAGGCCGAAGTCTTCGATCGATCGGCTGAGCTTTCTATGGTTACGGGATCCAATCTTGACCTCAAAAAGTACTGGTATGTGCCAACGAAAAGTTAATGTAAAATCAGGCCAAATGCTTTTGCAAAGAACGAATTTTTTCGTCGATTCCGCGATGACTACAATACGTTCTGTCCCGCCAGCAGGTCTTAAGCGCGCCAACAAAGGCTGTTCGTTCAACGCCAGGTAACCAAACAACGTGTACGTTATATCTTCAATTGGTCTCTGTGCCGGACTAATTAGACAGGGAGAATTCCAGCAGATGGATTCGCGAGGTCTCAAAATATAATCCTGTTGTTGATGCGGTAAATCAAATTGCTCTCGACCGTACACTTTAGGCGGGAAATGCCTCCAGTCGAAAAATCATGGGAAATTGCAAAGATATCAATCAAGAATAGCCGAGCTTGACAACGACATTCGAGAACAAGTAAAGGATAATAATCATATAAGTAAACAATGGATGCCTCAACTTTTAGTGAAAACAAAGAGTTCAGACAAAGAAGGGTCTCCTGATAAAAATTAGTTTACGTGTCGTGCCGTCTTGGGTAGTGTATACCTGAGGGTTATTTTTGATATATTCTCTACCCTCATGGGTAGTTTATACCTGAGGGTTATTTTTAATCTGTTCTATACCTTTTTGGGTAGTGTATACCTGAGGGTTGTTTTTAATCTCTCTTATACCCTCTTGGGTAGTGTATACCTGAGGGTTGTTTTTAATATATTCTATACTCTCTTAGGCAGTGTATACCTGAGGGTTATTTTTAATATCTTCTATACCCTCTTGGGTAGTGTATACCTGAGGGTTATTATAATATCTTCTATACCCTCTTAGGTAGTGTATACCTGAGGGTTATTTTTAATATCTTCTATACTCTCTTAGGTAGTGTATACCTGAGGGTTGTTTTTAATCTGTTCTATACTCTCTTGGGTAGTGTATACCTGAGGGAAATTTTTAATCTCTTTTATACCCTCTTGGGTAGTGTATACCTGAGGGTTATTTTTAATATCTTCTTTATCCTCTTAGCTGGTGTAAACCTGAGGGTTATTTTTAATATCTTCTATACTCTCTTGGGTAGTGTATACCTGAGGGAAATTTTTAATCTCTTTTATACCCTCTTGGGTAGTGTATACCTGAGGGTTATTTTTAATATCTTCTTTATCCTCTTAGCTGGTGTAAACCTGAGGGTTATTTTTAATATCTTCTATACTCTCTTGGGTAGTGTTTACATGAGGGTTATTTATAATCTCTCCTATACCCGCTTGGGTAGTGTATACCTGAGGGTTATTTTTAATATCTTCTTTATCCTCTTAGCTGGTGTAAACCTGAGGGTTATTTTTAATATCTTCTATACTCTCTTGGGTAGTGTATACCTGAGGGAAATTTTTAATCTCTTTTATACCCTCTTGGGTAGTGTATACCTGAGGGTTATTTTTAATATCTTCTTTATCCTCTTAGCTGGTGTAAACCTGAGGGTTATTTTTAATATCTTCTATACTCTCTTGGGTAGTGTATACCTGAGGGTTATTTATAATCTCTCCTATACCCGCTTGGGTAGTGTATACCTGAGGGTTATTTTTAATATCTTCTTTATCCTCTTAGCTGGTGTAAACCTGAGGGTTATTTTTAATATCTTCTATACTCTCTTGGGTAGTGTATACCTGAGGGTTATTTATAATCTCTCCTATACCCGCTTGGGTAGTGTATACCTGAGGGTTATTTTTAATATCTTCTTTATCCTCTTAGCTGGTGTAAACCTGAGGGTTATTTTTAATATCTTCTATACTCTCTTGGGTAGTGTATACCTGAGGGTTATTTATAATCTCTCCTATACCCGCTTGGGTAGTGTATACCTGAGGGTTATTTATAATCTCTCCTATACCCGCTTGGGTAGTGTATACCTGAGGGTTATTTATAATCTCTCCTATACCCGCTTGGGTAGTGTATACCTGAGGGTTATTTATAATCTCTCCTATACCCGCTTGGGTAGTGTATACCTGAGGGTTATTTATAATCTCTCCTATACCCGCTTGGGTAGTGTATACCTGAGGGTTATTTATAATCTCTCCTATACCCGCTTGGGTAGTGTATACCTGAGGGTTATTTATAATCTCTCCTATACCCGCTTGGGTAGTGTATACCTGAGGGTTATTTATAATCTCTTCTATACCCTATTGGGGAGTGTATACCTGAGGGTTAATTTTAATCTCTTCTATACCTTCCTGGGTAGTGTATACCTGAGGGTTATTTTTAATCTCTCTTATACCCTCTTGGGTAGGATATACCTGAGGGTTACTTTTAATCTCTCCTTTGCTCCCTTGGGTAGTATATACCTGAGGGTTATTTTTAATCTCTTCTCTACCCTCATGGGTAGTATATACCTGAGGGTTATTTTTAATCTGTTCTATACCCTCTTGGGTAGTATATACCTGAGGGTTATCTTTAATCTGTTCCACTCCCTCTTGGGTAGTGTATACCAGAGGGTTATTTTTAACCTCTTCTTTACCCTCCCCACCCGGCAGACGCGTAAGACCAGCTTCTCCCCTTTTATAGTCGATTTTGGTAAGAGCGATGTCTTCGGAAAAGCTAAAAATACCGTTCCAAAACTTTTGCGCATAAAAGGTCATTATAAGATTCTGCCGAAGCTTGTAGACTGAACGGGGAGACCATCAGTTGAAAGCAATGTGTATTCTCTGGCTTATTTAATTAATACAGTTTCTGGACTCTTAAAGTTCAAAACCATGACCTGTGTAAAGAGGGGTTTGTCGCAGTTAGCCTTAAGTAGGCCTAGGTCTTCGATCATGGAGGTGTAATCAGCTTTACCGGTGCCGCTTTTAAGGATATTTTTGAGTTTCTTCTTTTTACGTGTTCTAAAGTGTTCCTGTTATATGTTTCTGTAATATTTCGTCAGGACTAATTGTGGACCTTTTGTTAACGATTTACTGTTGTCTTCTTTAAAACCTTTATTGTCTCTACAGAGAAAATAAGCTTAGCGTACCGCCCCTTAGGTTTTTTCGAATTAGACCCGTTAAGTTTCTGGACTCTTGTTTCTGGAAAATGAGCGAACAAAGTAGAGTTGTATCTTGAAAATGATTAGAAATGTAATCATCGGAAGTTGCGGTTTTTTCCATTTCATTCGAGGGAAGCTTTATTAACATTTTTGTAGCGATTATCGGATGTCCTGGAATGTTCAGCGAACACCTCATGCCACCAAGAGGTATCAAACTTTGGCTTGAATTACTTATGCAAACTAGCTGGCTGCGAATTGTATGCGCAGTCAGCTAATTTGCATACAATTGTTTTCCGACGCAAAGCTCGTCATAAAATTTCGCACTTATCCCTTTCCGTTTTCTTATGGATCGATGGCCGTTTTTATACTTAAGCCGTATTATTCCTCTAAAAGAACTTGGGGAAATAATAGTATTTGCAAATATGTTATGCTTCTACACAGTAGAAAGGTAGTTCGTCTGGACACATAATATCGGCTCTTTGAAGAAAGACTTTCATTACGCGTTTACCGGAACCTTGCCCCGTAATACATCTTGAAGACGCAATACAAGGTTAGTCCATATGAACGCATAATGAATCTCTTTGTTTAAAGACGGGCAAAGCACGTTTTAAAATGAGATCGTGTTATAATTAGAAAGAGAGCCACGGTTATGTGCTTAAAGCAAGTGGGCTCCTTCATGATTGGTCTTTCAAGTCGCTCAGAAGAAATTATATTGTTTTGTGACACCCTCAATCCTTCTTTGAGAGAAGGTTTATCTCAGATTTGGTATTTATTCATCATCCATTTTCTGTTCCTTAACTCCTCAGGACATCATGCTCGTTTCTGTTTCTTTTTTAAATCATGGTCTTGTTGGCGACTTCTTTTTCTTTTCTTTGCCAGAAGGCAATTTCACAACTTCCAACACGGCCGAGACTTCATTGACCACAACGACTATTCGTTTTAGTTTGGCCGCCCATAATACTATGAATTATTCGTCTCTCTTAGTTCGTCTTTCTATGCGTTCCGTCTTAATATTAGACGCATAACATGAAAAACGCTTCGTCCAAAAAAGTGAAACGCAATAAATAATTGTCATTTCCCAATTTATACTGAATTGTTAAATAACAGATCAACTAATAATCAATTGGCGAGCCCGAAAGATCTTCAACCAAGAAATATACTTAAAAAATATCATCAATATTAGACAATCATCCAGAATCATTGACAATCAGCTGGCTGGACGTATTTTGATTGAGGACATTAATCAAGGATTAATTCTACGTGGTTTCCAGTCTTAATGTTGATTAGGTTCGTAGTTTTCAGTCATTAGTCATAACGTTCACAGGAGGGGGAATTATAGAAAATTGACTCCAAATAAGGAGAGAATATAAGAATACTACAAAGCCTTTACGGGGGATCAGGTAAACTTTATTGTGACACAACCAAAATCATCCCTCCATTCCCCCCCCCCCCTTCGATAAATAATGACCGGTACCTTGTAATGTCATTCACAGGATCCATTCAAGCTATAGTTTATCCAAGTATAATCTCTGCTCCACAAAAGCCAACAAAAGCCTTCACTGGCGAGACTGTGTCATTTAAGTGGCACTACAATTCAGGAGATCTAAAGAATGATCTTTTCGAGGTGGTGTTTGGTATTTGGAAGAGTCCTGGCTTCCTGAAAACAAAGTTGATAGCTGTCAACTCGAGTGGTTTTGCTTCAACGAGGTCTTCATATAAGTCATCTGTGGGTTGGGCAGGAAATTTGACATCCTCTGTCGCAGTGTTTGAACTTTATAATGTAAAACTAAAAGATAGCAAGAAGTATGGAATAGTGGTGGAATATGGTCTCCAGCATACCCCGTTGACCGACACAGTTCAGCTTCAAGTTAAGTCCAGACGTAAGTAATATCGTTGAAGACAGCTCGGATTATGTTGGCACTGACTCAAAATTAAACTTTTGGATGCTGTGATTATGGTACATCTGTAGGTTATAAGACGGAGTCTGCTGAAAAGAGGTACATGCATGTCTCTTCAATGAAGGCAACAATTGACAAGGTTAGAGGGTCATTGTTTTGTTCTGTTGGGATCAAAGTTAGAGTTCCTTGACCGGAGGGGTCCCTGAATTATCAAAAGAAATCGATAAAGGTAATTTCTAGTTACATCTAGTTACTGGGAGATTGATCCAGATAAATTTGTTTGCAGCCATGCTTGATCTACCGAGAATCATGAACGTCAGTAAACCGGCGCCGCTCAGGAAAGGACAGAACGTTAACCTTACATGTATTGCCCAAAGCTTGTCTCCTGTTCAAGTCATGTGGAAAAGAAATGACAAAGTATTAGTCAGCGGTACTTCTCAAGCCATACTGACCCTAAGAAATATTACAGCTGAGGACTGCGGCGATTATGTTTCTGTTGCTAAAAACACCGCCGGAGAAGATACTAGGACTGTTATCCTACTAGGTAAATGGTTTCACATATGCTTGTCAGACGAAGTTTCTTTAGGTGATTCCTCAATAAAAAAAGTTATCGAACAATTTTTTTAAACTTTAGTTAAGTTATCGTGCTTGTTTAGGAGATATATGCCTCAGGTACTGGCACTAATCACACGCGTCATTTCACAGGTCTATGGTACATATGGTGCAGCTGGAAGCAAGGGTTTTTAAAGTAACACTTGAAAAAACTTAATAGGTAGAAATTCTCGAGCGTATGGAACAATTTGGTTTATAATTTGTGGGGAAAATCAAGCCAATTTAAACGATATTGACCCAAAACGTTCCACGAGTCGTTCCTTTCAAGTTCATAATTTGTAATGGGCTTAGAGCACGCTTTTAGCTTTGTCTTTTTTTCCGTTCGAAGTTTTTTTTTTTAATTTCCCGAATTTAAAGGGGATAGTTTTTCATCAAAATTATGCAATAAAAATATAGGTCACCTTCCTCGTCCAAGAGCCGAAGACCATCGCACCTCTTTATCTGGTCTGTGGATTGAAAAACAATACCGTGTTCTCGGAATGCGCGCGCGCTCATTCCCCTGATTACATGATTTTTATGCGCAATACAGGATGCGCAGTGCAATACTGAGGAATCACCTTAAAATGAAGCTTCGAGCGTTAGCCCTTCGTCAGAGCCCTTCGTTCTGACTCTCGAAAGGTCAGCTTCAGAAACTCCTTATACGATGGCTCATTTATATGGCATTATCAACTCAATTGATGAAACCAAATTATATTGTCAAATCCCTAACTGACGCAGCACTACAGTTTCTTTAGAAACTTACCCCCTTTAACGCAAGATAAACTGACTACCACTGATCTTGTTCATGGAATTTCCCCATAAATTATTCTTGTTATGTCAACTTTGCATTCCGTTCAGTGCTCAAATATGGATCCTAAAATTCCTTCTCATTGATCACCTGACGAGCTAATGAATACACCTTTGGCCGTAGCACTTCATTCTATTTCCCCTGGAATTCCTCATAAACAACTAAATTTTCCTGCTTGACACAGTACTTCCGGAAAGCCCAACTATACTGAATTCAGACAAAATAGTGACCAGTCCCAACTGGACGCTACGATGGTCAGCAGCTGAAAGTGAAGGAGAGCTGCAGGTGATGTATACAGTTTGGCAAAAACGTGAGGGTGCAGAATCATGGCAACTGGAAAATGTTACAAGAAACATATTTCACATTGGACTTGAGGATAATACATCTTACTCGTTCGTGGTGAAAGCTTGGAACAAATGTGGAGAGAGTATGTTGGACAGAGACAAAATGCTGAACATATCCACCGACTTTGCAAACAAAGTTACACAAGGAAACGTCATATCTCGCGAAACAGTTCCGACAGAAAACATGGTTCCGACAGGTAAGAAAATGGGTAAAAAAAAATCATCATTACTGCCCTATATGTTTCTTCTTAGACGGTTTATTTTCGGTCAGTAGCTCACATAAAAGTTTGCAGGTAAATGGTGGCTGCCATCAGACTCAATTTTGCTCATAGGTGTAATTGTGTATCTGAACGTTTCATGGTTATCGTAGACAAAAGGCCATATAAACATGAATGAGTGTAAAGCCCAGAAATTGGGTTGTTTTGTAGGTGAATGGAGAGAGAGACTACGTGACTGAAGCTTCTCGGCCAAGAGCACAGAGCTGGGAAGGGAAGGGGCACAAAGTAATGACCGCGGTTAGGCTCAAAACCGCGGACATGTCAATTTAGTGAACCAATCAAAACTTCACCCCATTTCCCAGATGTTAACTGTTTTAAATTTCATTCGACAGAGAGTGAGAATGCTCTGACTCCAATCTTCAGCAGCAGACAAATAGACGTCGAGTCCCCGTGGAAAATTGAATTAATCATTTTAATAGCAGTGGGCATCATATTTTTCATACTAAGTGCAATTGTGGTTGTGCGAAAAAAAATTATCCAAGACAAAGAAGATGGTCAAAGTAAGTAACTTAAAGCGTGCCCTTCGATGGAATGTCGTAAGACAAAAGCTGTAGTACATGATATAACAGAGGCTAATCAGGAAAAAGGATAATTGTTTACTCATATGAAATGGAGTCACCTAGAGTTCAAAACAAAAATAGGCAAATTGCCTCTAAAGCAAGAAAACACAATTCATTCGAGCCGCCATTGATTTTAGTTTTGCATCTGATTGATTGGGGAGTTATTTTAGAACAATCACAGAGCAGAGTGAAGTAAACTATAACAATTTAGATATCTTTTAAATAATGCATGCCTTATAAATAAGTTACATATAGCTTAACCATCAATGATGAAGAAGACAAGGATAAAGCTTTCAGTCTTTTAAAGACGTGAAATTACTTTAGAGTCAAAGGGAACGAGAAATCTTCGTTAAAAAGAGTAACAATTTCTCTATTTTTCTCTTCAAAACTCCATAGGACACCAAGATTTGTGGAACGGAGGGTAGGTATTCAATGGCGAATTAATCTTTACGAGGCATTATTCCAATATCTTTCTGTCTCTTATCAACGGGAAATTGAAGAAATTTAATCATATGATATTCAGCTTTCTTTAATTTTGTAGATTCGCTGGAAAAAGTTGAAGTTCAACGAGTTAGACATAAAAAAATATATGTATTAATAATGGTAATAGGACCGAGTGGAGTCCAATTCGTTCTGTAGTTATACGAGCGATTGGTTTATCACGAGGTGTCCGCTTACAGCCAACTGTCCGATTACACCTCTACAGAATGTTCATTGAAAAATGAAACAGCTGATGCACCAATCATATTTGAGGAAATTGTAATGGTTATGATTAAATACTGTATCAATCAATGTTATTTTTTCATTGATTAGGATAAGTACTCGAATTGAACCAAAAGTTACGTCCGGTCGATGAGTTGATAAACAACAAAAATATAGATTTTCATTATTTGATGTGTATTGCTTTTTCAGGCAAACCTCATTGCTTTCTAATTTACAAGAAAATTCTGCATTTGATGAGGTGGGGAAAGAATAATCTGTATGGTCTCTTTAAGTGTATACTAACACGGCTCAAGGCGTTCAAGGCGCGCTCTGATTGACCTCTTAAACGCCGAACATCCCTTGTTATTCACTTCGGAGCAACTCGCAGGGGATTTAGGCCGAAATATCGTAATCGTTACAGGAATAAATAAGTTAAGATCATCTTTTTTTGTGCTATTTAGTATATACTTAAACAACTATCCACCTCTGAGTCAGAGTCGGTGGTTAACGTGAATAATTGCCTCGCCGCTTCGCGGCTTGGTAAACACCCACAGCAGCAGCATTCATCTACCACAAAACTTTCTCTACTTCGGTGAATACTTATAAGCTACCGTTGATTTAATCCAAAGATTGTTTCACTATTACTATTTCCAGTTGTTCTCATTGCCACAAAAAGGTCGAATGCTCCATGATAGTTTGGTTTTGTCAGTTGAGTTGATAATGCGAATTAGCCACCATGAAGAGATTAAGGTCACCTTTGTTGGAATGGCATCCTGAAATTCAGTCATGCCAAGAACAAAAACCGATCCATACACAGATCGACTCACTACAAGTACCACCCAGTCCTGAAAAATTGAAGAATGAGAATTGCTAAACTTACTGATATAATCTTTTTTATCCTTTACGTAACCTCATCGCCTCCAGAGACTTAAATATCTAACCTCCAACAACATCAATTTATAAATAATTTGTTTGCAGGTTAATGAGAGTTCTTCAGAAACAGAACCAGTGACGACAGTGGTGACTTCACTGGGACTTTCACAATCCTCGTTGACGAGAGAACAACCAGTATCAGCTATGGTGGCTAACACTGAGGAAGGAACAAGAGAGAGACCCGAGATGAGCTCCGTTGCTGCTGCATGCTCCTCTGGTCAGCAGGTCATGTCTTTAACGACGTTTTCCTCACGTGAAAATTATGAGAGTTCTTCAGAAAGAGAACCAGTGACGACAGTGATGACTTCACTGGGACTTTCACAATCCTCGTTGACGAGAGAACAACCAGTATCAGCAATAGTGGCAAACACTGAGGAAGGGACAAGAGAGAGACCCGAGATGAACTCCGTTGCTGCTGCATGCTCATCTGGTCAGCAGGTCATGTCTTTTACGACGTTTTCTTCACGCGAAAATCATGAGGCGTTGCACAACTCCACTGAAGTGAACGCCCAAGTTGCAGCAGCTCCAAATGCAGGGAATGAAAACATTGTCCAAGTTCAAGAGGAAACAGTCCGATGTCCCGACACGTTCAGAAACAAACCTCCAAATAACACAACTCAAGGAGTGAATCATTCAGAAGATTACCTGCAACCGGTGGAGCACTTACACTTACAAGCTGCGTTTCAAAACGGAAATAGCTCCCAATGTTGTCGTGGAAAGATACAAACCTTGCCTCAAGGTCGTCCTGTACCTAAGCCCAGAGGAAAATTGTCCACGTTTGCGGGAATGACGTCAAATTCACGCAGGCAAGGGTTTCAACAACGAGCAGATGTCGAACGAGTTAACCAATCAAGGTTCTGCACTCCTCATCCAAGAGTTCTACAAGGAGAACACAGTTATCTGAATGATAGATGTGCAGCAACCCCGTATGAGAGCCCAAGTTATCCACAATCAGTTTTACCTTCTACTTCCAGGAGGGAGTCACCATACACGAAAGTGCAGAACAACACCAACTGGGAAGTGCCCAGCGGACGCCTGAGACTATTTAAAAGGATCGGCGGTGGAACATTCGGTCAAGTGTGGGAAGGTGCTGTGTTGGATGTGCGTAATACTCAAGGCTGGTCTACTGTAGCTGTTAAAATGCTAAAGGGTACGTGCTACTGCTAACAAAATATAAAAATGCCTATAAATCCGTACTGACTATCGATAGCTTTTAAGGCGAAAGGACGGAGCACTACATCTAATACCTCATATAATTCTCTCAGAGGTGCTTGCATGCACTGCTAAAAATCTTAGATTCGTAAATGATATTTAAAATTTAAGATTCATCTTCGTTCTCTAATGAGTGAGGAATTAGTAGCATGTGCTGCTGGATCACCAGTAACAAGAATTGATAAAGGCACATTTTAATGCAAGCAGTACTTCTTCAAAAAGAAGGAAAGAGTTTTGTGTCGTATCAATAAGTTATTGAGGAAGTCGCAACTCAATCAGAAAAAAACTCTTCATTTTTGTGCAAGGATATGCTAGAAAGTAAAAGCCTCACAACAAAAACTTTGAAACGAAAAATTATTTGGACCAAGTTTTCTGGAGAAACGAATGAACAAGATTAATTTAGAAATACTGTAACTAAAGTTTTCGTGACATTCGCTGTTCTAGAAAATTCCTCGAAGTCGGATCGAATGGATTTGTTGTCAGAGCTGGACTTGTTGAAGAAACTTAAACCTCATCCTAACGTGATACAATTGTTGGGTTGCTTGACTAAAGACGTACTCCGATGTAAAGGAAGGCGTGAATTTAGTGAGTTCGATTATTTCCATCCTACATGCGCGAAGTAAAGATATAGTCGGGAAGGGAAAATGTTGTCTCTGTTATATCAAAACTGAAAAATATGTACCCTGAAATGATTTGGTTTCTTCGTTTGCTATTGTTGCTTCTTTGTTTGTCTGGTTGTTTGTTTTTTTCATAACCACACCCCGGTTGCGTTCTTCGACGAGACGAGGAGACTGGGACAGTCGTTTTTACTTCAGAAATTTCAAAAACCAGAGCTGATCGGAAAAAAAAAATTATTTATATAAACGGCTAAATGCAGTTATTTGATGGCCAGTGTAAGAAAATCGATCTTTGTCAGAATGCCATTGTATAACTTTAACTCCAAGGATTCATTTTCTTTGCACATTTAGGGCCGCCTCTTGTTATTCTGGAGTTTGTCCCTCATGGTGATCTCCTTGGATATCTGAAGAAAAGTAGAGGCGAGACAGATGACTACTACGACGTTAAATGTGCAGAAACTGCATTGAAAATACCAACAGAACAACTTTACAAATTCGCTTGTGATATTGCCCGGGGAATGGCGTTCATATCGGCTCACCAGGTGTGGTACTTCACTTAATCTGTTCCATTTTTATGACACGTGATATATTTAACAATTGCTCAGGGACATATCTAACGATTAAATATCTAGCCACTGCCACGGTGAAAAGTTGTGTAAGTATATACTAAAATACTCAGATAACATAGCACAAAAAGATGATTTTATCTAATTTATTCCTGCAACGATTACGATATTTTCGGGCTCAAATCCCGCGTGAGTTGTTCAGAGGTCAATAGCAAAGGATAATTGGAGATTGAATAGCCAATCAGAACGCGTCCTCAACACCATCCACTGTTTAGTATATACTAAACTCGAGTGTACACTTCGTCCATAAGCGGTATTTCAATTTTTTTATACTTCTAACTTTCATACTACCAGACATTTCATTCTCATGTTAAGAACGCTTGAGAGGAAACTAACTAAACATGGACAAACACAAAGTTAAGAATTAAGAATAAGAGGTGCAAGTCTTTGTCAAAATTAAAAATACAACATTTCAAACTGAATTGAGAAAACCTTCGTGAAATTCAATTCTCAATGAGTAACGATTATTCAAAACGATGGAGATGAGAAATTTATTACACGAGGTTAAATACTGGGCGAAATATTATTCATCAAATTGTTTGTTCACTTGTAGTTCGTTCACCGAGACTTAGCAGCGAGGAACGTGTTGGTTGGCGAGGGTCTGCACTGTAAAATCACTGACTTTGGAATGGCGAGAGATCTTGGCAAAGATAAAATTTATGTCAGGAGGTCCAATGTAAGTAAGCATGTACTCACTAACAGGTACAGTGAGTGCGTGCTGCTCCCCCTCACCCCTCCCTTCCGCGACCTTTCAAATTCGTTACTTCTCAGACTTTATAACATCGATCCTAGTATCTCAAACTTATGGAAGTTAGAAATTTTTTGACAACTGAACTTACAAAACACTCATTCTGGTTCTATGTTAAATTTTTATTGCGTTATTTCATAGGGAGTTGTACCAGTGAAGTGGATGGCAGTTGAATCACTAACAAAACAGGTTTTTACCCCAGAGAGTGATGTGTAAGTAGATTGATGAGCTTGAAGTAAAAGTGATAACACTTTCCAAAGGAATATTAACTCAGCGCCCTTTTTAAGAATTCAATGTCTCTTTAGCGTGAAATCAAATCTTCATGTTTCCCGCCCGACTGTTTCCTGCTGAGCAGTAACCTGATCATGCAAGAAAGCGAGAAAAGTTCTTTGTATGTGATAGATTTTTCGATGGTCTACGTTACAAGAGACTCTTCGCAAACTAAAAATAGTGATAATCGTCTGAGACAGATAGCGGTAATATAATACAAATATTTTTTTTTGTCTTTCCTTTTTTTTAGGTGGAGTTATGGAATCGTCCTACATGAGATATTCACCCTCGGTAATTGGAATTTTTCTAGGTTTTTGGGAGACTTGAGGTTATTTGGACTCGGAGTAAGAATAGTAAGATGATAGAGAAAGCCAGAGGAAAACACGATATCAACCTAACTAGGTCACTTCTTGTCGATGGGGCCTGACAATCACCCGTGTCGGGAGCTGATTATAGACTATTAAACTGGAATTTCGAATGCGATCGTGGGGGGCTGCTATCGAACCTGCAAACAGAAAGTATCATTGTGATCAATCGGATGTGGGTAGTCCTGGAAAGAACAATGCGAGTGAAAGTCATCATCAGAGGTCTCTGTGACGGAGATTCGAGGATGTTGATAAGTCAACCATTGTCACTGACAACAATCCTTTCCAGAACTACTCTAATCTAGACGTGTAGACTACACAATCAACTGCTGCTTAAGGTTTCAAACCTTTCACTCTACTAAAAAGAAAATTTGCAAGTCTGTTATTACTCAGTACTATCTTTTCTACAGAACCTTTTTCTTCAGCTTTCTGAGAGCTGACATCTTTTAAGTTCTTCGCGAGCATACAAACTTCTACTCTTTTTCTGAGTCAAATATGCAGTGTTTTTTATCTTTGCAGGGGGGAACCCTTACGATGGAATGAGCGGACAAGAAGTCTTTACGTACGTGTCGCATGGTCATAAATTGCGAAGGTCGTCAGGCGTGAGCCGAGAATTGTACGTAGAATCACGTTCCATCTAGATTCACGCGTATAAATAGGCCTCACTTATGAATAGGCCTATTCATAAGTGAGACCTTGACCTTGAAGAGAGAGGCATAAGTTTTCTGAACCAATCAAATGGCAAAGTAAAGCAAAACCAATATAATCCGGATAACTTTCGACAATCAGTTGAAAATTGCTGCATTAAAAGCTATAGTTGAGTAAGTGTTTCATACATGGAAATAATGCTCAAAAAGGCTCTACTGACCTGAGGAATGTATTTTTATTTTACCTTGCACTCGTATAAAACACCGGATTTTTGACCCAACAGTTCAAATCGTCATACTATTTGTTTTTTTTAACAAGTCGCTGGTTATATGGAGTTTTGGTGAGTAAAGACTGACTCGTGACTTCACAGATATCTTTAATTGGTTACGTCTGTGTTTACATTGTAAATCACAAATTCCCCTGAATTTATAGCCGTTTTGACAGTTGGGTTTTTGGTTTTACCCCGCGAAAACTGATCAAACTGATCATTAAAGCAGAAAAAGGAAATGTTTCTACATTCATTCGGACAACTTGTTATCTTAACAACATGATCACTTGATTCCCACAGGTATAAATTGATGCTTCAGTGCTGGGACCAAGAGCCATCTAGGCGACCGACATTCGAATCAGTTACGTCGTGGATGGAAAATTTAGCGCATTCTCACTGTACAGAAAGTCGGAATACCTCCCAAATTATAAGCTGGGCGTAATTTATATCAATGAACTTTTACCCACTAACAAGGTTGGAACAGAAAATACTTCGATACCAACAGGGAATGGAAGTCTTGATAAATTTTTCTGGCTTTAAATTACCATGTTGGCAAGAGAAGATAATCCTTTCTTGATGTTAATCGCGGTTCAAGGTTTTTCCTTTAGTTACGTTATCCAGCAAAGAGGTTGGAATCAATTATTGTCTATATTTTTACATCACAGAATCGATACAAATAACAATTCCTAAGTTGGACGGCATTCATATAGTGATGCTTACGTTTGTTTTATAGTTGTACAAAAAATAGGTAGATTTTAAGTATATTATTATATAAAGAACTTTATTTCTAAGTTAAATACGGTTAAAAGTATTAGTCGTACAAATAAAACATATGAAAATCTCTTAGACTGGTTTACATATTGGTGAAAAGAAAAGTTAAGTTCACTTGACATGAACAACATGGAGAGATGCCAGTCGAACCCTTCGCAGTGTATCTTATTGCCCCTTTAATCAAATAACACTGGGTGGCCCGTTTACTTTGGCTCCTGGGGAGTCCAACCGACTGAGTTGCTTCACCAATGAAGCTGAATATAGGAATGGAAATGATCAAGAAACACTCCCGTAATGATCAAGAAAACACTGCCGTAGAATCTAAACCTGGAAGTCCCTGCCACGGCGATGGTCCAGGAAGGGAGAATGGTGTGAGCTCAACCAGACCTATCTTCCTTTTTTTAGACTCAAATATTTTTTCTTTGATGTCAACCAGAAAATTTACTTCTGGTGTGTACCATTTGAAGAATTCTCCATCAGAAGGTGCACGCAAACAGTTTTACGTCACTTAAGTCGCCTCAAAACTAACTCAGATATCCCATTTCATACTATGCTTACTTTCTTATCCTATGCGACAACTGATGTCTTGTTATACGGAATTTATAGGGAATTCTTTCCCTATTATAGCCCATTACGGGCCAAAACACATGGATGGTTTTTGAAAAAAACATTTTTGGGTGTCTTGGATGCATGAATTCTTCATAATCGTGATCAGAATTTCATATTCCCGGTAATATTGACCCGCTATATACATGATATCGCCAATCAGCTGCTAACACGTCACTTGCCTTCCACGCCACTCAGTCAGGTTGATGAATGAACAGCGAAGTTTACACCATTCTCAATCCAAGGTCGTTTGCTGGAATTTTTTCAGATTATGGCTGCCAAACCACTGAAAAATCCGTACTGCCTAGAGAAAGTGACGTTCAAACTTTCCTAGAAGGGAGAGAAAACCAAAATACGGAAAGAAAAACCGAAAGTTGTGTATCCAGTGGCTTTGGTAATGGCATTTCTCGCGGCTGAGAACGAAAATTGACAACTAGAATATTTGTCACAAGCCGATTTTGGCCGTGTACTTAAGAGATTTCTTCTGTCGGTAAGGACCAAGTCAATAACTAAAAATTTTTTAAATTGAAAATTAGGCCCGTTGTTTGTTTTTGTAGTGTTAGTGCCTCATTCCTGTTCAAAGGCAACCAAGCACACAACTGTAAAATGGACTATTTGTCCAATTCCAGTCATTTATATTTCAGAATTCAATCCTTCTGGTTTCAAAACTCGAGTCTTTATGTTTTTGAAATTTTTGTTCCTCTTTGCCATCTATTAGATAGTTTTCTTGTTTGGAAATAAAAGACATAAACTTGTACCTTTGTCCTTCAGACTAGTAGCTCACACCTTTGAGGAGAGGGTTTCTTATATACAGCCGTTACTGAAGAAGACAGACGTATATAACGAATGGGAAGGACACTGTTAAGATATCTCCAAGTTTCTCGAGCAGCATATGGCCCGGAAGCTGAGTATTCAAGCCGTGAACGAGCTCGACTTTGCGCGGCTGCCGTTTGCACCAAGGCGCCGTTTTCATCCTTTGAGAGTTTCGTCACTGAGATCTGTCGGTTTATTGACAGTCTGCCAGACAACGCAAAAGTGGGAATCCTGCACAGATATCAGGATCTATTTGATCGTTGGGAATCTTTGTCAAGTGATTCCGAGAGAGAGCAGACGGAGGCTGGTATTATATCACTCGGCGCCGAGGAGATAAAGCTTTTGAAAAGCTACACCAGACTCTACAAAGAGAAATTCGGCTTTCAGTTGGTAATTTGCGCTCTTTTAAACAACAAAGTGACAATTTTGGAACGAATTAGAGAGCGTCTCAACAACGATAGCTACCAGGAATTAAACATCGGGATCAAAGAAGTGAAAGACATAATGGTTTTGAGAGTAAAGGACCTGGTGAACAGCGAAACTTCTAAAATCTAATCCACGTACACTCTGGTTCGAGTGACCTATTCGAAACTCTCAATAACGATGTTCAACTTTCCACCCATTGATTTAGGGTTCATTTTAGCATTTCCAGTTGTAAAACCCAGAAGACTTTTTTGAAAGCTGTTTGAGTTAGTCAGAAGAAGTTTCTTTTTTGTCCAATGGGATTGACCTTATTGTTAAGAAGTGACAAGGCCAGATGCAAATTCTTTCACCTGCCGAGGATAAATTGAGGTCTTGTTGACTATGAAAGCCCAAAATAACTCTTAAGCACTACCTTTTGTAGATCCATTGAGGAGTTCAACGGAATGAACTGTTCGACGTTTGGATCACTTTCAGAATTTCGATTTGATGATTCAGGCCCTTGGCAAATCTATAAAACATTCGCCAATAATACACTAGTCTTAATTTACTCAACTTTTCAGTAAACAGGGAAATCTTCAACCTGATAAATTGAAATTACAAAACGAAACTGGCAGAGATTCAGTGCATTAAATCAACACATTGAATTTGATATGCTTAGTACGTGAATACCTTTTAAATTCTAGCCATTAGCGAGAAAGATCAGTTGGGTTTTTCACTTTTGGGGATCAAGTAACTTAACATGTGGTTAAGTAAAAAAGAAACATTGATAGAGTGAACAAGAACGTTTTTAATCGTATGATATGACTAAGGAGTCATTTTATTAAGTGACTGGTTAAGCACTTCTCCTGGCAATCAATAAGCGGGAAAGATCTAAATAAAAAACGACGACATTCTTCGCTTGAGCAGTGGACCACCGCTGTGACTCTCTGCTGGTTTACAGGAGTAGTAACCCATGAGCAATAGAACAGGTGATCTATTAACTTAAAAATATTGCCACGGACACCAAAACGATTCAGTTATCGACCAATCAGAGCGCACGTAAAGTCTTAGTTATCTTAAGAACTTTTAAATCATTATATATTATCAGTTGCCATAATTGGCCCATGATTGGATCGGATATCTTTACATAAATCCTTTTCAAGCATCTTCCCATGTGTTTTGTTCATCTCTCCCTGCTTCACGTTTCAAACATAGAAGGATAAATGGAAGGAGAGACCCAACCACTCCAACTCCACCAGCTACAATGAACGCAACGATGTAATTACCGAAAGTGTCAGCCATTAGACCTGATAAGAAAGACATGTCTCAAACAGCAAAATGGCAGGCATATGAGGTGTCTTTTGTCTGTCTGGGTAATTTGGTAATATCAACTGAGTTGATAACGTAAATTTGCCACCATAAAGAGATTCAAAGCTGACGTTTCGAAACGCTTGAAACGTCAGCTTTGAAACTCTCTACTGTGGCCAATTTACGTTATCAACTAAGTTGATAATACTAAATTACCCTGCTATACTCTCCCACTGACGCAGCACCACAGTTTCTTTCGAAACTTACCCCGTTAATTCATTTGTTTGTCTACTTTGAAGTCCTTACCCCGTTAATTCATTTTTCTGTCTACTTTGAAGTCCTTCAAACATCAGAATACCACGTTTGTCTCTTTAAAGACCTATCTGCCTCTTTGACTCACTTCAATTGTTGTTGATATTTTCAAAAGACTCTTCTTTAGGATTAGGTAACCAAAGGATGTACAGTTTAATGGTTCCAAAGTTTTTGTCATGGATACGAGAGCCAAAGGAGAGAATCTCTGAACACTGTTCATATGCACGCTCCAACAACAACGTCGTCTCATAGGAGTTTAGAAGCTTAACAGGATACGCCATTATTATTGGTTATGACGTTTCCGGAGTGGAGGGAGACGCCATAGGAGCACAGCTCATAATACCCCGTTTATAGCTTGTAAAGAGAAGGGGATATATTCTCAGTCCCCCGGAGGGGGGAGGGAGTATAAAAGTGGAAAGACAAAATTGTTCCCCTACCCGACAACGGTGGACTAATTAGGGCAGAAACTCCGGAAAACAGCATCCGCAATCCAACGGCGGAAGCCTTTTCAACTTCCTTTACGGCTTTTGGGATTTCAACTATCATTGAAGTAATCAACAATCCATCCGCTGAACTGAAAAAGATGGCATAAGTGAATACAACAAAGTAAGACTTTGCCAGGGTCAGAAGCATAGTGGAAGCTGTCATAATAAAAATCGCTGCCTGAAGCAAAAGGCAGCTGTTTACGAACTTCAAGTCGCACTGGAATCCTCCTCCGATGCGGCCAAGAGAGCAAATGTGCCGATAACCATGTAAATTGTCGAGCTCTTGTTAGTCAAAATACCAAGGTCATCACAATGCTTCATCTGAAAATGCTAGTAAATGTAAGTTAGACTATGGAAATCGGTGATAATCAATAAGTTAATCTGAGTTGTACACTGAATAATCAGAAATCAGACGAAGACGAAGACGAAGTGTGCATCTCCAGCCCTATCCGAGAAATTTCATTCAAAAGTTGGCGTAAATTAAGACGACTTAGGAACTTAAGAGACAAAAAAAGGGCAAATGACTATCCTTTTCACGCTCAAGGGTGAATTGGATCGACGGCTCCACTGAATTCAAATGCGACAGGAGGCGCTCTGCTTCATTTCCGGATACCGCAGAAATAAGTTTCTTGATTTAAATGTGTCCAGAGGGGTTCAGGGTAATTTAGAGACAAGTGTCTACCGTAAACCTACCCACACCGACAAATACCTCGCTTTCGATTCTCACCACCCTATTTGCCATAAAAAGTCTGTAGCCAAAAATTTACATAGGAGGGCTGACTGTTTACCATCTTCACTCGATTCGAAGGCTGAGAATCTCTTAATGGCGGCCAATTACATTATCAACTTAGTTGAAATGGATAAGCCGTCAATGAAGCCGTATGTTACAGACTACAAGTGACTAGTCCCCCTGGCAACGCTTACCTGAGCTACTGCTGGAGCTGTAGACTTGAGTCGACTGAGGAACTGGACTTGTCGTGGTTTCTGTGGAGTTGTTTAAAACGAAGCTGACATGATATCATTTGTGCATTTCAGCAATATATACACGGCGGGGTTAGTAATTCATGGCAGATGTTGTCCAGATTAAACCATGCAAGGCAGTTTATGTTAATGTCACTTCCGTCATCCATTCCGGCAAAATTATCACATGACTTCTACATTTCTTTACGACTGGAGCAGAGTATGAAGATCTAACGCTTAGCAATTTACACAAAAGACTGTATTTCTATACAATAAACAATTCTAAGAAATCCGGGGATATACTTTTAAGACAAGCATTCAAGTTAGTCTGAGTTCCAGCTCATCGCACAGCGAAAAAGTTGTGCACGGTTTGCTTATCCAGAAGCGTTGAGTACATAAATGATTTGTGTATTACAGAGTACGAATGACTACTTCCCCTGGCCACGCTTACCTGAGCTACTGCTGGGGCTGTATACTTGAATCGACTGAGGAACTGGACTTGTCGTGGTTTCTGTGGAGTTCTCTTACTTTTAAGACTTCTCATTATTTGAAAGAGCCATATCGCACCTTGTGGTTATTATCATTGTCACCTTGTTTACATTTACCATTTATTTTACTTCTTTTTTGTTGCTCCAGGAAGAGTTATGTCCACTTCCAGCCGGAAAGAAATTGGGAGGATTATGAAATAACGGCCGGAATTTCAAAAAATACAAAATCAGAAGCAAGGCATTTTATATTTCAGCATTACAGGCATTTTCTCACGTTTACATAGTTCATCTGAACACGAGGGAAATATTCGACGAGTTATGCAAACGTGGGACTTAGTCTAGGGTTTACGTAGGGTAAAAGCGAGCATCTCTTTACAATAATCAATTCCAAGAAATCCGAGGAAACGAGGTTCAACGCTTTCGAGACAAACGTTCAAGTGAGTTTGAGTTCCAGCTCATCGGGCAGCGAAAAAGTTGTGCACAGTTTGCTTATCCAGAAGAGTTGCGTACATAGATGTTTGTGTGTTACAGAGTACGAATGACTACTACCCCTGCCAACGCTTACCTGGGCTGCTGCTTGGGCTGTAGACTTGAGTCGACGGAGGAACTGGACTTGTCGTGGTTCCTGTGGAGTTATCTAAAACATAAATGATAATATTTCTTATTTTGCATCTTTTTCTGTTATGAATTTAGCAGAAAATTTACAGATATACAGCAGGATTATTAATTCATAGCAGAAATTGTTTAGAATAAACCATGCTAGCAAGCCTTAATTTACACATAGATTTGAAAAGCAGATTTCCGCGGTAGAAATGCTCAGTTTCAAGGAACAAGAAAGACAGTGATCCTGAATACAGATGTTCTTTCCTTTAACTGTACAGAATGTAAATATTTTGTGTTTTTGAACTATATTTTGAAAGATCTGAAACACAGAACTGCGAAAGAATAACAACACCAAAGTCCCAAGCAATTTAATATGGTCGTTACTTGAGAAATCAGGTGATATTCAGGATTGGGCAGGTAGGATTAAAATGGCTTAGGGGGTCGTCTCCATTCTAAAGCCTGTCGTCAAGTCCAACGTCTGATGCATCCGCCGCATAAGAAGGTTTTATTTTAAAACATATACTTGCACATAGTTGTGCTCTGATATTGCAACAGTTGCATAACATAACAATGATCCTGTTAAGCTTTGTTCAGGATTGCTTGATATTTCATTGATCTCTGACGAGAAACGCTAGCATATCCATTGCTTACCTGATACATTTAGATGGTGTACTTGTAAGCATTTCAGTCTGTTTCCGTATCATGATGTGTATATGAGAACAGGGCCACGACTTTGTACTTGCCACTATCATTGACAGCGACATTGAAAATTTCTATCATCAAAAGGCTTTGGTTCACCTTCTTAAATTCGGCCTTCCCCTGCAAACAAATCTCCTTTAATGGATGAGTACAAGCGCCATCTAATCCAGTTTTGTTTAGGAATGCAAATACGGACGAATGTGCGTATGCACGATAGCCACGAAAATGTTGGTCATCTTCATGATTTGATCTGTTGTAGTAAAGTTTTGCGTCCACTCCAGAATTGACTGTAACTGTAACTCTAGGATCATCACAGACATCTCCCGCAGTTGCCACCGGAACTGCAAAATTTGAATTTAAAAAGGAACTAGTTTTAAAAGCAACCTTCAGAATTTTTCTTAGGGAATAATCTGATTTATACATGCAGACCCTGGGTAACTTTCCACATTGGTGTAAGTACTCTTCCAGTTTTACGTTCACACGCATAACGGAACTCTCATTTTGATCATAATAGCTATAATTTTAATTCTACGAACATAAGGAACAAAGGAATGAGAAAGATTTCTACGAACAATTGCCCATCTTCATTCACAAATAGATTCAAAAATTTTTTCTTGTGCTTAATCATATTTATATCTCAATAGGTTTCTTTAGTTGTGTGTCTTGTTTCCGAAAAAAGCAGGAAGACCATGGACGGCTCAGACGAACAAAAAATTGTCGTTAATATATGCATAATTTTCATGAAAATCAGTTATTCCACAGAGAAGGACCTTACTTTTTCCCTTCAAAACGCTTCCTTGAATGCTTTTCAATCCTCTCAAGTGCACTATTTTTTCAGCAGGATGAGAAATCGCTTTGGCGTTAGACATAACATATAATAGGTATTGTCGAAGTAGCTGCTTTCGGTTTCCATCCCCAGTTAAAAATATACCTTTGGAAATGGCGAGTCTTTTCATCATCTTAAAAGCGGAGTATATCGCTAATCGTGTCTTGAACATTAACAGTCAACTTACCTTGAATCAGTGTTAAAATACAAACCAAGCCGCATAAGAGAAACTTCATGTTGACCGGCCACTTTGAGAGTAATCCCTCCGTAGAACTAGTGTCGAGAATGGCTCCGCATCCCATTGCCATGCGTTTCTTAAGGGTTTTTTTTAGCCTTTTTTTATCTAAATAACAGGGCTTTGTTCCTCTCTGGGAAAAAGGGAAACTGTTTCTATCAGAGCGTGAAAAGTGATTACCATGAAATTCCGAGAATGAGCTTTGTGTCCTCCATGAGCAGTCAAAATGTAATTAACGCTTAAGCATATCTTTGATGCTAACGGTCGATCTAGAAGGGAGCCGAAATGGGTGCCAGACTTTTTTACAGGGTCTATTAGTCTCTTCAGTAAACATTTGAATTTAATAATGAAAGACCTCTCCATTTCTCATTGCTTTAGTTCTGAATTTATAACAAAATCTAAATAAAAAATCAGATGATGTAAGTTTGAACAATTTTGAAATTCTAAAGTAAAATAACTTTAGATATCTTAACGAGTCGGCGTTAATTGAAATTCACTGCAAGGTAAACTTAGACTGCTCTCAAAGCCAGTGCTTCACGAAGCAACTAGCTATATAGTCAGAATGGCTGCGGATACGAACATTCTCCCATGACTGAGAGCAAACTAATTGAGACCCTCTTGAGATTAAAGCGACATCATTCTGGCCGGGCATTGAGTGCCCTAATATCCCGGTTGTAAGCCGGCCTATTTAGTCTCAAAATATTGAGCAAGGAATCTTAAAAAATTGGATGCTTTTCAGAGAAATTGACCTTTAAGCTAATGGTGCATGACAATTTCGAGGAGACGGAGTTGTTTACGAAGTTAGATCACGCAAAACTCATCCCTGAAAAGCTATTTACTTGAATAAAACTGCGCATATGGGTTTTCTGAGTCAGTTTTCACGAACTTCGATGAAATTTTGCAATCAAGCATTGAGCTGAAGCTTCTTGAAAGGCGTCTGCTCTCGCTAGCTATTTTAAAATAGACAATGAAAGCGTGATGTCGGCCAATTCGCCTCGTTCGTTATTGCAAACCAGTTTCAATTTCCATCCAGTTCTTCCGCTTCAAAACGATAAGACAAAGCTCTAATTAATGCCCTTAGGCCACTTGCTTCATGATAATTATCAAACTCGGCAATTCAACATTAGAAGTGGGCAGTACGCCATAATTTCTGAGAAAGATATTCCACCTTTTGGTTCGGTCTTTGTCGTATCGAAAGTTCTTCTACCTCACCGCAACAATATCCCAAAACCCAACTTAAGTACTTGAAAGCTGGTTTCACCAGTTGTACGTAAATCTTTTTTGAAACTAGCTTTTGAGGTCAAGCACCCTAAGAAAATCATGAAAATGTGCATGCATCAAAACTTTTCAAACTCATTTCTGGTCGCTCGTCTCAAATGTATGCTCATTGGTGGCCATAAAGATATTTTTTCATCTATAAGCGTCATATAGCTAGTAATTATCTCGATAGAACGCTGGTACAAGAAAATATTTGCATCTATATCGCTCAATTTACTAACAGAAAGTGAGTTTTTTTGACCACGGGCCCTACGCTAACATTTAAATTTTTGCTAGTGACGGTTATAAATAGCTGAAGTGTTCCGGCAAAACATTGTTAAAGGTGATACAAGGTCGTCACAGGTACTCAACGCCTAAAAGATCAACATCAGCAGCGTGGGAACATTTCAAATCTAATTTATGCGCCAAGATGCTACTCTTCATAAACACCCGTATAGCCTGGGTTAAGGGAGCGCCAAGCGCAATAAACTTAGTTGACTTCATTTTCTTTTTTGCCTTTCGTCAGCGACCGTTTCATACGATGTATTTTGAGCATCATAACAATATTTGACCGTCAAAATAAACGTTTTAACAGCTCTAGTGCTCACTCTATCAAGCATAATTTATCTGAGCTTAATCAAGTTCGTCTCGAACTTATCAGCCCTGGAAGTCGAGGACTCAGTGGTTGATACGGTTACGTTAGCTTATTCACGACAGCGTCTCTCCTGCTGAAGTGAGATCGGAAAATGCATCATTGGCTGCAAGTCCTTTTGTTTGTCTTTTTTGTCAGTTTTAAATCTTTGCCTAGATAAGTTAGTGGAGGTGTTGCTATGGCAGCGAAAAGTTTGCATTCTTTCATGAGGAGTCAGGGAATTAGTTTGTTTATTCATTGCGACATCATTCACCAAAAGGGTTGCGATCTCAGTTTATGCGCGTGTTATTTACAGCTTCGTTGAAAATCAGCTGTAATTGATAGGTATATTAAAGAAAAGGAACATATCTGGCATTTTAGGGTGACAGAATCTTTCGAGGAGAGTCCAAATATTATAGAAACTAACTTTCAACAGAAAACTTCGAGTTGTTATTTGAGATTGTAACTCAATAAGTCGAAATGACTACGCAGACCGTAAGATCACCCGAAAAACATTTATCAGAGAGAGAGGTAACAGGAGAATTTTAAAATATACCATCGCTCGAAAACTCTCAAAAGGCACTGAATAGAAAGACAGAAACGTGATACATTTATTATCAATTGTAAATTATTGGATTGATTTACATCATTGACTAACTTCCCCTTACAACACACTTATGTTTTGAACGACTAACCGGATATTTAGAATTAGTAAACCTACCAGCTTGGGGGTTTTATATTTACCTCAAGTGCGCTTAGTTTGGTTCGATTGAAATTAATACGTTTGAATCTGCTGCCGTGCCATACTAAACATTTAACTGATGCTGTCGTAGCAGTAACACAGTGTTTAGACCTTTTAATTTTCTTAGCATGAATCTCCCAGGATCAAACGCCGAATTCATTTTTGTTGCTTTTAATGAATAAGGGTGAGTCGTCCATAGCAAGTGTCTTGCAGCTGCAATTATTTACGCCATGTTTAGGGCTTTTTTTATGATGGTGAAAGCAAAGGCCCACTGTGAGTGTTATCGCAACAAATAAGATGATTCCACATGCCACTGCCCATTTAGAGGAGGATTCTCCTGAAGATTTTCTTGGCAATGAAACGCCAACCTCTATAACAGAAATAATAAAAAAAAAAAAAAAAACAGCAACTCTGATGGTTAAACTGTAGTAGTTGGGAAAGCAGGTAATATAAAGTGTAGATGGCTAAATGAGTATGAAGGTCAGTCTGGAGGTTAAGTAATAGGAATGAAAGTATTCTTACGTGTTGGATGGTCATGAAATGTTTTGACTTGTAACACGTGAAATCATCAGCAGTCTGAACTCAGGCTACTGGTTCTGAGTTCAGACACCAACAGGCTTGCTGGTACAAACTTACTTTAACTTAGGATGGGCAAACCAACAGGATACGAACATTACCTTTCGACGTATCTGGAGACCCTGTATTTGTAGCTCTCACGGCTGTTGTGACACTTATCGGTTGTGGAGTAGTAGTAGTGGCTTTTGGTGGACCTGTGTCTAACAATTAATGCGAAATCAACTTTCATACCTGGTAGTGTTAAAACTTCGGAAATACAATCGGTTGAGTAAAGAAGTTTAAAGGTGTTAAGAACAGTATGACAAAAAAGGATTTTCCCGCCCCTATTGCGCAGCGGAGGCCTCAATTCTCGATAGATCAGGAACACAATTGTGTAGATCAATCTTCCAGTAACTAGATGAAGTGTTTGAACAATTCACAAAGGTAACAGAGCTTGTGTAGAATGGCAGTTTTAATTGTATTTACGAAAAAAAACAATAATCTGCAATTACCGTGGAAGGAATTATACTTGCAATTCGTAGTGATCTTGGAATTACTGTTGACGATTTCCCGTGATAATTCAGTGCTGCCTCCTCTTTTAGAAGATTTCAGGGACCCTGCCGATCAAGGAACTACAAATTTGATCCCGACTGAACGAAACAATTCCCCTTCAACCTTATCAGTTTTTGCCACTATTGAAGATACATTCATCTACCTCTTCTACGCGGACCCCTTCTTATAACCTACAGATGAACAATAATCACAATAACCTGAAATACAATTTTGAGTTGGAACGAATATTCTCTGTGCTGTCTTGAACCATTTTACTTACGTCTGGACACAACTTGAAGCTGAACCGAGTCGGTCAACGGGGTATTCCGAAGTCCGTATTCTACCACTATTCCATACTTCTTGCTATCTTCAAGTTTTAAATTGTAAAGCTCAAACACTGTAATAGAGGATGTCAAATTCCCTGCCCAACCCACCGTTGACTTGTATGAAGACCTTGTTGAGGCAAAACCACTCGAGTTGACAGCTATCAACTTTGTTTTCAGGAAGCCAGGACTCTTCCAAATACCAAACACAACCTCGAAAAGATCATTCTTTAGATCTCCTGAATTGTAGTGCCACCTAAATGACACAGTCTCACCAATAGAGACGTTTATGAACCTTTTTGGAGCAGCGATCATACTTGGATAAACTATAGCATGAATGGACACTGGAAAGATATGATAATGCAAAAGTCATAATTGAGGGGGTGGGTCGTAGAAGTTTGGTTGTGTCAGGATAAAACATACCTGATTCCCCTTATGACTCAATAGTATTATTATTATCCCGCCTCCCTCATTGGCAGTCAATTTCCCGTGGTTCCCCCCTTTAAACCCTGTTGGCTCCGACTAATTCCCCCTCCGTTCCCACTGAAAACGTTGTGACTCCCCCCTTAACGTAACAATTGACATGCTACTATTGCAAAATTTATGAAAATTACCTCCACTGAATTAAACAAAACGCTATCAGTCAGCAGTAACCGATAAGATCGATTGGAAATTATTGTATGGGGTTTAATACTTTTGGTAAACTTTGGGTAAGCGTAGAGAAGTGTCATCGAAACCTGACTACGTTGATAAGATCAACAACAGTGTATAGAATGTTAGCTTAATACCATTAATACATTTTAGTTACATATCATTTAATTTCCACCAAAATAGAAAAGTTTATATCTCCTACCTAATTTTCTGGGCAAAATTTTGTATATTGTCAAATTTTAATTTTAAGTTACAAATTAGTGAGAAAAACAGGAAGCAATGATGAGTCAACTTAAGGGATCATGGCACCCAAATTTGGTGACTCTTGTGACAATAAAGGATTCCTTATGTAACTATCCCAAACGTCAACGGAAAATTACACTGTACCGAGACTTAAGCGGCCAGAACAAGACGTCAGTGGCATGTTTCTCACGTTCGTCCTATTTGTCTACAGACCTGACAAACTCATTTGATTTTGTAGCGTGAGCGCTTGATACCTTAATTAATAATTGAAAGTCTCGAAACAAGATACATCGTAAATGCACGTTTTAAACACTTACAGTCAACTTACCCAGAGTCAGTGTTGAAGAACATACCAAACTGCATAAGAAGAATTTCATTTTGACCCGCTGCGTTAGGACTAGACTCTTGAAATGATGCAGAACACAGCAGCATAGCATTGTGCGCATGACTTATTTTGACTCTCTCTGCTTATTTCCCGGAAAAAAGGTAAGCGTGTCTATTGGTGGGTGAAAAGCACAACCTTGATAACTTTCCGAAAATAACTTTGTATTCTCGAAAGGTCGATCAATTTCAATTGCTTGTGAGTGTCTCGAAAGAAGCTGGTAGAAGAAAATCTTGGCATCTATGTCACTCAATTTACCAACAGAAAGTGAATTTCTTGACTGCGGGCCATAAGCTGAAATTTGAATTTTTGCCTGTTTGTGACAGTTATAAATAGCTGTAGTGTTTCGGCAAAACATTGTTAAAGCTAATTCAAGGTCGTCACAGGTACTCGACACTTAAAAGATCAACCTCAGCAGCGCGGAAACTTTCCAGACCTTATTTAAGCGTCAATAGCTATTTTTTATATACATCCGTATAGCCTGGGTAAAGGGAGTGCCAAGCGTAATGAACTATAAATTGCTTTCATTCCCTTTTTGGCCTTTCGTCTGCGACCGTTACAGACGATATATTTTTGAGCATCATAACAACACTTGACCGTCAAAATAAACATTTTAACAGCTCTAGTCCTCACTCTATCAAGCATACTTTATCTGAGCCTAATCAAATTCGTCTCGAACTCATCAGGCCTGGAAGTCGAAGACCAAGTGGTTCCTACGGTTACGTTAACTTATTCACGACTCCTTCCCTCCTGCTGGGATCGGAAAAAGCATCATTGGCTGCAAGTCCTTTTGTTTGTCTTCTTTGTTTTAAATCTTTCCTTACATAAGTTAGCGCAGCTGTTGCTATGACAGCGAAAAGTTTACATTACTTCATGAGGATTCAAGGAATCAGTTTATTTATTCATTGCCACATCATTTACAGCTACGTCGAAAATCAGCTATAACTGATAAGTAAATTAAAAGCAAAGGACAATATTTGACATTTTAGAGTCACAGAATCTTTCAAGGAAAGGTCAAATTTATAGAAACCACCCTTAAACAGAAAAATTCGAGCTGTTCTTTAAGATTGTAATTTAATAAGTCGAAATGACGACGCAAACAAAAAAAAGGGAAGGTCGCATTTAGTAGAAATACATTTAGTGTCGATTTAAATTTCTATGCAATGTTTAAATCCTTGAAGTAATGTATATCAATGATTAACTTCACCCTAAAACACAACTAACTATATATTGTAAGACTGACCGGATATTACGAATTGGTAAATCTACTACCTTGAGTATGTTATATTTACAAAATACTCTTGCAAAATTCCTTTTCGTTGCTTTCAATGAAGCTATTATTTTTTGCTCCATTTTTAGTGCATTTTTTCTGATGGTGGCAAAGGCCCACAATGAGTATTATCACAACACATGAGATGATTCCGCTTGCCACCACCCATTTAAAGGAGGATTCTTCTGATGATTTTCTTGGCACTGAAACGTTGGGCTCTAAAACAGAAATTAAAAAAACCAGCAACTCTGTTGATTTGACTGTAGTAGTTGGGTAAGCAGATAATGTAAAGGGGTAGATGGCCTAACGAGTATGAAGGTCCGTTTGGAGGTTAATTAATATGAATGAAAGTGTTCTTATGTGTTGGATGGTAACTGATGAAATGTTTGAACTTGTAATATGTGAAATCACTTGCAATCTTAACTCAGGCTACTGGTCCTGAATAAGGGTCGGTAGGTTTGTAGCGATGGGTCATATATTATTAAGGAGATAAAAAGCTATTAAAGAAAAGAAGTTTGATCTCCAATTCTTGTGTAATTTACCTACAGGTTTACTGGTGCAAAAGTACTGCAACTTAGGATTGGCAAGCCAACAGGATACAAAAATTACCTTTCGACGTAACTGGAGACCCTGTATTTGTAGCTCTCGCGGCTGTTGTGACACTTATCTGTTGTGCAGTGGCGGTTTCTGGTGAACCTGTGGCTAATAATTTATGCGTTAAAATTTCGGAAATACAATCGGTTGAGTAAAGAAGTTTAAAGGTGTTAAGAACAGTCTAAAAAAAAAAAAAAATTCCCGCCCCTATTGCGCAGTGGAGGCCTCAATTCTCGGTAGATCAGGAACAAAATTGTGTAGATCAATCTTCCAGTAACTAGATGAACTGTTTGACCATTCACGAAGGTACCAGAGCTGAACAAAAACAATTCCCCTTCAACCTCATCAATTGTTGCCACTATTGAAGATACATTCACGAACCTCTTTTCCGCGGACCCCGTCATATAACCCACAAATAAACAATTATGAAAGTAACCTGAAATACAATTTTGAGTTAGCACGAATATTCTCTGTGCTGTTTTGAACCATTTTACTTACGTCTGGACACAACTTGAAGCTGAACCGAGTCGGTCAACGGGGTATTCTGAAGTCCGTATTCTACCACTATTCCATACGTCTTGCTATCTTCAAGTTTTACTTTATAAAGTTCAAACACTGCGATAGAGGATGTCAAATTTCCTGCCCAACCCACGGAGGACTTATATGAAGACCTTGTTGAGGAAAAACCACTCGAGTTGACGGCTATCAACTTTGTTTTCAGGAAGCCAGGACTCTTCCAAATACCAAACACAACCTCGAAAAGATCATTCTGTAGATCTCCTGAATTGTAGTGCCACCTAAATGACACAGTCCCGCCAATAGAGACAGTTATGAACCTCTCTGGAGCAGCGGTTATACTTGGATAAACTATAGCATGAATGGACACTGGAACGGACATGATAAGGCAAAAGTCATTATTGAACGTGGATGGGAGGGGGGGGGGGGTCAGAGATGTCTGGTTGTGGCCCATGAGCTTTCAATTTCCTCTAGTCCCACACTTAAACCCTGTTAGCCCCAACTGACCCCTCCTCCGTTCCCACTGAAAACGTTGTGACTGCCCCTCAAAGAAAGAATGAAAAATCCTCGTCCCCCCCTCAACCCTGATGATAACTAATGGCTGGTCCTTGCGTAATGCTTGACTAATGTTTAAGAAGTGACCAAAGACTTATCAAGTTCAATGACGCTGCGCCTATTTTTACTAAAAATATGTTCTCTTGATTCTTGAGAATCCAACATGATATCGGTAAGTTCCACTCTCAAGAAAAATTTCTAAATGTAAGGCCTTGCGGGTATCTTTTTTTTTTCTATTTCTTAATGATTGCACACCTTTCACGGACAGTTAAGTAGCTGGCCATAACATATGACATAGGTTGAATAGCACTGTGTCGTACAAGTAACAGACACTCCGTCAAGAAGTAACCTTCAGATGAAGGAAGTCTTGAAATAAACTACTATTTCACTTCTCATTAAAAAACATTACGAGAAACTGTTGCTCTCAACAAATCAATCATATATCAATTCTTTGTTGCGGTAAAAGCCTATTATAATGATTTACTTTGGTATGGTGGAACACCGAACAGGTACGGCTGAGCCGCAAATGTAGCGAGGATGGATACGGAAAGTGAAATTTATTTCGTAGCTGATTTCCATAGTATGACCCTTCTTTTTGGCGCAATCGTGCTCAGAGGTCTACCGTCACGCTTTTTCCCAGAAAGGATACCGCCAGCGTGGAACAGTTTCTGAGAAACGGATGCATTTTGCTTCGAAGAGAAAACAAATGATTAGTGTCCACGAGATTTCATTATTAAGTTTTAGACACGAATTTTTTATTTGATTTCCACCTTTCCTTCTGTAAAAGCTTTAGCTGAAGTTTTCTATGGCGCGCCCTCCAAGTTCGTATTCAAACTATTTTAATATGTGATACATTATTTATATTTCTGTGCCTATTCAAAGCATTTTGATATGTGATACACGAGGGGCCTACTACGTACTGTTATGTTATCGAAAGAACTTGACGTCGTTGCGTTATCGAAGCCTGCTCGTAACTTGTCATTATATGAAAAACAAAGCAGACTTCTGTCAAAACACCTTCTATAATATAGTATTTAAGACAGTTCGGTTACTGAACTAACATGAGCAACTCGCGCAAACGGGAGGCCTCGGGAGTTTGTTCAGGAACTTTACGTCTTGACTCAGCCCTAAGTACACGCTCTTAAATACCTTATCGGTAGGTATGTTTTGGCTTACGGGACAACTTACCCTGGCAGAGTAAACGTATTTTTAGAATGTTAACCAAAAGAATTTCACAAGACATTCGAAACGATCAACAAAGTACTTAACACCAACCAATCTTCGAGAACCAAAACCTCAACAAACCCAAACGCGACTAGCGATGGCGATTATCATACGAGAATTAAGCCCTTAATTACAACAGTCAAGGGCTCAACACTCATAGGGTAAATGTGGGGCCGTGCAGCACATGACAAACCAAGGCTCACAAGACTCGCACAAGAATTCCAAGATAATCTATCTGGCCTGAATAATCCCGGAAAAGACCGACCTAGCCGGAAAAATGAACAGCGTTTCGATTCTTCTTTGAAGGATTTTGCTTGAATACATGCAGTTGGGTAAACAACTGGCCTGGCTTGACATTTCTGTTTCAAAATTTAACTATTTGGACAATCAAGTGAAATCACGACATCTCCCTAAGATAAAGAAACTTGAGTCGCTTTCGTAGTGGAACTGATAAACTTTCTTGATCAAAGAAAGCAAGAAAAGCCTATATTTTTCAGGAATTGATTTTAGATGGAATTTTTTTTCTGGTTCTCACCAATATCTTTTTTTTCATTTGTTTATGACGCATAATGATTTATTTATCATTATTCATTTATGACGCACCATTATCTATTTATTATCATTTATTTATGACTCATCATTATTAAGGTTTCAGTTTTATTCGGATCGGTTCCATGTCCAGACAGCCATATACAGATTCCACGATTCCTAATTTTCCAACCGTCCAAAAATAGACATTTTCTGAGAATCTGAACCTCATTAATTCGTCTGCGGTGATCCATTCGCTCCAGGTATACCAGTTGTTTACGATGGCACTTTCTTGGAACTCATGCATACGAAATTAAAAGCATTGACTATCTACTGACGCCAGAATTTGTTTTGGTGCCCATAGAGTACTTCGAAAGTATCGCCCTTTTACGGTGTAATACGATAGAAACTTACGACCGAAAATATAAAACAGTAATAGAAGGGGTGTTTGTATCCGCGTTTAGCAACATTCGCTTTTCGCTTTCTTCGCTTATTTCCATTTAATTTACATATTTACTTTGCTAGTAAACCAGCGTCGCACTCAAAGCGGAAAAAGTGCCGTGATGTTACTTTCACTTTCACTAGAATTCCGCCTCACAACAACTTAAACATATACACAGACCAAATTAGAATTTTCTGCCTTAACCGCACATTTCTGTCATTTGCCTGTAGTTCGTAACATCTTTTGTGTCTAAGAGGGGGAATTGTAAAATGCAGTCTAACCAGGTTTTTAAGAATATTGAATCTTTCGCTCTGCAATCGACTTTAGAATATCGAAAACTGTGGGTTCTGTATTTTTCAGTTTCCTCATGACAATGTTCTCCAACATGCTCGGTTATTTCAAAGTATAATGTAGCGTGGATAATATTTTCAATAACATTCGAATTCTCAACACAGAAACTACAAATCCACGTTAAACTTACCTGTGAGGCACTGAATCACTACGATTAGGATCGAAAGTATATGTGCTTTCATCGTCCACATAAACAAATGCTGCTCTGCTTCGCATATCCTTGGGTTTTTAAGCTTAGTTGTTCCCTCTTCAGAAACTAAGCAATTCGGAAGGCACGCCGGCAGCAGTAAGCTTCAAAAATTAAAAAATTCAGAAATTCAAACAAAGAGATGACTTTTGCATGAGTAATTCATAGCCTGAGGACTCAAAAGTTTCCCATGATTCCGGGAAATCAGGTGATATTTAGGATTGTGCAGGTGGGATTGAAATGGCTTAGGGGGTCGTCTCCATTCTAAAGCCTGTCGTCAAGTCCAACATCTGATGCATCCGCCGCATAAAGAGGTTTTATTTTAAAACACATACTTGCACATAGTTGTGCTCTGATATTGCAACAGTTTCCCATGATTCCGGGAAATCAGGTGATATTTAGGATTGTGCAGGTGGGATTGAAATGGCTTAGGGGGTCGTCTCCATTCTAAAGCCTGTCGTCAAGTCCAACATCTGATGCATCCGCCGCATAAAGAGGTTTTATTTTAAAACACATACTTGCACATAGTTGTGCTCTGATATTGCAACAGTTGCAAAACATAACAATGATCCTGATCGTATCGTAAACGTATGAGTATAGGATGGGACATACTCGGTAGCCGCATGGACTGAAATTATATTAAGGCAATCATTACCGGTAGCATCGATTAAAACTAAGCTAACGACTTATCTATTATATGATGCATTTTCTTCTGTGCAAGTTATGTAGATTCAGTATTATTTTATAGCGCCATGGAGGGCTAGTGAAAATGCTTTCCAGACTATTTTGTGTTTTCCAAATAGCCTTTTTAAAAAAAAAAAAAAAAAAGCAATAGTTTTCCCTGCATGTTTAGGAAAACTAGTAAAAGTAATCATATTTTGCAGAAAAAATTTTAAAAAGATTATAAAATCGTATTTTCCTCTGCATGAATGAGCATGTCTATAAAAAACTATGTGTTAAGAGTCAACCATGGAAAGATGCAGAGGTAATCTGCAACCACTTAGTAAATGGATATTACCGAAATTCTGCAACCAAGCATTGGATGTCGCAGAAATTCTGCAGCCACTCAGTCACTAGATGTCGCAGAAAATTCTGCGACCATTCAGTCACTTGTGGCAAGAATTTTGCGATCACTCAGTACCATGTTGTCGCAGAACTTCCGCGATTATTTTGTCACAAGTTGTCGCAGAAATTCTGCGACCACTTAGTCACTGGTTGTCGCTGAAATTCCGTAATCACCCAGCCACTCGATGTCGCAGAAATTCTGGAAACACTCATCAAGTAGTGAATACAGCAATTTAGCAATCTTACTAAAACCAGTCAATAACAAATTGAATTCCACAACATTTGGTCAGTGATCCTCAAGCACTCTATGATTTATAATAATGTAGGTAAACTATTAAATGGCACAAAGCCACACAATTAAAAAAATAGAATCTTCTCAAATTTTGTAGTTACACCCATCTGTTAAGAAAGTAAGAAATACAATATACAGATCGTCACATCCCTTTGTTGTATGATCAGATAAATAAAATGTGAGTCAGAAAAAAAATATAATAAATTCAATGAGATCAAATTTTGATATCTGGAAAACAAAAACTTAGTCCCACTACAAAAGAAGAAAATATTAACTAATATACTGCCAGTCCTTTCAACTATCTCAAAGAAATATTAAAAAATTATAAATACCAAAAACAGGTCTCATTTTTATCTTGCATTTGTCATACCCTGTAATGAAAGCCTTTAAGGCCTAATGGATGGAGAGTGAAGTTACAATAAATCCATGACACATTTCAGTAGTTTCAACATACGGTGGCTTTGAAAATTCGACATCAAGGATAACAATTGTTGGTTTCTAGGTGAACCGCAATTTCGCACTATTTATCGAAAATAATATATATTTATACATATGCCCTACTTACGGCCTCGAATTGAGAGAACCGGATTGAAATCGATTGCTTTCTTAGACTTCTAAATAAACATCAATAAATGAATATATTTTTCGCGTCCTTCCTAGATAGTGCTACTTTGAAGTCACCCTCTCTAAGGAGGGGGTGCATTGGGATTTTCGGTTTTGCGGTTTTGGCTATTTTTAGATCGGTTTTTCGGTTTTTGTGCCAAAAACTTCGGTTTTTCTGTTTTGGTGTTCATTGCGGTTTGCGCATATTCCGTTTTTCAGCATTTGGTTTTCGGTTTTCGCCAAAAATACTGGTGGGTTTTCAAATTTGATATCCGATACGGTTTTCGGTTTTTATTATTTGACCTATGTGGGTTCCGGTTTCTCTTCAATCTGAGTGGCAATTATGCGCCTTCGTTTATCTCTAATAGCTGCTAAACGCAAATGTTATCGAGAGGAATGCCTGACAAACCAAATGAAATATCGCAGGAATCCTTAGGTAGCGTAAGTGTAGCCGTACCCCCCCCCTCCCCTAAGATGGCGAGGAGGGGAGGGTACGGCTTAGCACGGAACATTGCCATATTTTTCTTATCAACGCCACCTCGAAGTTGGTGACCAAGTTACAGGCCACACGTGACTGATTGATTCAACATCCCAATAGAATTTCCAAACTTTCAGGCCTTAGTTCGCAAATGGAAATGTAAGATTAGGGATTTTCGATGAAACTTTCCAGAGGTATAGCTTTTTGCGACTGCAAAATTGCAATCCTATGGAAGACTTTTGTGCGAATTTCCTTAATTTAGCCAAGCTCTATTACCAGCCGCTGAATCCGCAGAGACCACGCTCGAGGTCCTCGAGAGAGCAGCTGTTAATTTACTCTGTTAGTTTACTCTGTATGATGTTCCACTTGTCACCACTGCATCGGATCGATCAGGGTGTTGATAACTGGGATATGAAAATGTATCGTTTTTGACAGTTTTGCATGCTGTTTTCGATTTTGATCGAATTTTTTTTCGGTTTTGGATGATTTTTTCTACGGTTTTGCGATTTCTTATAAGCCCTAATGCCCCCCTCTCTAAGGGTCCATAAAAAAAGGTGTTATTTTAAGGAATTGACTCCATTTGTTTGTTTATATTCTTTTTTAGTTGTGCGTATAGCCATTTGACGACATTTAAAATGAAAGAGCAAACCGGCAATTATGAGCAATGCGATAGGTAACACAATTCCTAGTACAATACCTAACTTCTTCCCGCCAGGACCTGGAAAACAAAAGATACAATATTCATGTTAGTGAGTAGGTCAGTAGGTGAGAATGATATACAAGAAGTAAGTACGCAAAAGATTAGAAAAAACTTTTGACAGAACCACTCACCACTGGTATTTCCCCTTACGTTGTAGACTTTAGTTGACAGAGAAACTAGTCGTGTCCTAGTTTATGAGCAGGTATCTTAAATATTGACACTGACAAACAATTATTCGGTTCAATCCCAAAACTTCAAGCCTATTCAGAGGCGTTGTGCATGTTCACGACTGTATTTCTGCGAGGTAGCAAACGTAGAGGAATCCAATATGGCTGCTCATAAGGTAAGATTTTGTAACTAAAGAGCTGAGAAATTTTGATGCGAACTTTGCTAGTTGTCCTTATATTTTGAAGGCTACTTGCTCTTTATGTGGTTGGTATAATAGACCATAAATTGACCATAAAATTTTGAGTTCGAGAGAATTTTTTTATCAATATTTAGGAGCAACTTTTAAGACTTCTCACTATTTGAGAGAACCATATCGAACTTTGTGGCTTTTGTTATTGTTACTGAGATGACATTTAAATCACTTTTACTTATTTTACTTCTTTTTTTATTGCCCCAGGAAGCGTTACGTTCACTTCCAACCGAAAAGAAATTGGGAGAATTATGAAATGATAGCAGGAATTGCTTGAAACAATAAGAACACCAGAAATGCACAATAAGAAGCAGAGTATTTTATATTTCAGCATTAGAGGACTTTTCTTGCGCTTACATAGTTCATCTGGAAACGAGGGAAACATTCGAGGAGTTATGCGAACGCGGGACTTAATCTAAGGTTTACATAGAGTAAAATTAGTTTTAGCATGGCTTTTCGTCCGTATATGTGAAGCTAATATCTAGCTGTTGATTCGCTCTGACGAGCGGCTGATGGTCGAGACGTCAGTATTTGACTCTCTTAATGGTGGCCATGCAATTACATTATTAACGTGTTACAGACTGCAAGTGACTACTCCCCCTGGCAACGCTTACCTGAGCTGCTGCTGGGGCTGTAGACTTTAGTCGATTGAGGAACTGGAGTTGTCTTGGTTTCTGTGGAGTTATCTAAAACATGAATGATAATATTTCAAATTGTGCGTTTAACGTACGAATTTAGTAGAATTTAATATTTATAGATATACAGCGTGATCATTGATTCATGATTAATAAATAAACCATGCTCGAGGAGTTATGCAAACTCGGGACTTAATCTAGGGTTTACATAGAGTAAAATTAGTTTTAGCGTGGTTTGTGGTCCGTATATGTGAAGCTCATACTTAGCTATTGATTCGCTGTGACGAGCGGCTGATGGTCGAGACGTCAGTATTTGTCTCTCTTAATGGTGGCCAATTACATTATTAACTCAGTTGAACTGGGTAAGCCGTCAATAACACCGTGTGTTACAGACTGCAAGTGACTACTCCCCCTGGCAACGCTTACCTGAGCTGCGCATGCTGCTGGGGCTGTAGACTTTAATCCATTGAGGAACTGGAGTTGTCTTGGTTTCTATGGAGTTATCTAAAACATGAATGATAATAGTTCAAATTGTGCATTTTACGTACGAATCTAGTAGAATTTAATATTTATAGATATACAGCGTGATCATTGATTCATGATTAATAAATAAACCATGCTCGAGGAGTTATGCAAACTCGGAACTTAATCTAGGGTTTACACAGAATAAAATTAGTTTTGGCGTGGCTTGTGGTCCGTATATGTGAAGCTCATACCTAGCTATTGATTCACTGTGACGAGCGGCTGATGGTCGAGACGTCAGTATTTGTCTCTCTTAATGGTGGGCAATTACATTATTAACTCAGTTGAACCGGATAAGCCGTCAATAAAACCATGAGTAACAGACTGCAAGTGACTACTCCCCCTGGCAACGCTTACCTGAGCTGCTGCTGGGGC